ATTTACAAAGTATTTTTAAGGTTCTTAAATTATTATATGGTGAGTAAGTAATCTGAGATAGAAAATTGACCTGCTTTCTCATTGCAATGATGATGGTCAAATGTGTCTTGGACAGTTAGTGAAACAGAAATCAATGATGTTAGCTGTATTTCCATAACTATACTTCTTCCACTAAACAATGTTCAAAATTATGGTAAAAATGGTTGTAATTACTCATCATGGTGAATCCAATTATAATGAACTATACTCATTTGTTAAAATAGTGTATAATTTAGGTTTCATTGATAAAATCTGACCCTGAACTGCAGAACATTCCATCTTGAATGCAGACAACAGATTGATAATTTGCCTTTACATCCCTACAGAAATTGGTCATGAAGATTTTCCCGCAGCAGAAATTGTGAAATCCTTAGAAGATGTTCAACTAAAAGCTACAAAGCAACATGGTGCGACTTCTATCTGACTTTAGTCAGTGATAAATTTCTCTTGTGAGAACATTGTTCTTATAACTGGCATCTTTTTCTTTTTGGTGTAAACTATATCTCAAAGACCTCTAAAAACACAGGTTTCAAGTATCACATGTTACAGATTGACATTTATGCAAGAAAATATATTTGCCTTATTGGTACATATAAATTTTACCTATTTTAAATTGTCTTATTTCTTGTAATTGTGCCATTGTGCTGACTTCCTTTAGGTGCAATTTTGAAGATGTCCTTGTCATCTTGTGATGGAGGTCACAAAGACAACCTCTCAAAACCAGAAAATGTTTTAACAGACAACTGGTCATCTGAAGGTACTTCGTCTTCTCTCTGCTTTCCAAGCTCATTGGCTCAAATGTTGTAGATACTTGTTTTAAAACATTTAATTGTGGAGACCAAGCCATTTAGTTCATCTCACTTATAACAGTGAGTATTCTTCCTAAAAGTAATATCTGTTTTTCTTTATCCAAGCTTACTTATCAGATACTGGAAAGACAAGAGTATCAATGATGTTTTCAAGTGCCTCATCAGTTCGTGTAAAATTAACAAGATTAATCATCAAGGTAGGCTACAAGTTAAAAAAATGAATACAGTGTATAACGTTTTTCACGTGTGAACCTTAATGCACCATGATACTGTTTAAAACCTTGCCTTGTAAAATTTAAGGAATGGACTGATGTGCTACAGCGTACAATGTGTATTTTTCCTTACACAGGTGTCCAAAGGAGCAATTGGACCTTCGCATGGCTTGATCTTTGTCCTGGATGATTTTAAAAGGTACATCAGTGTTAAAGAGGATTTGAAAGCTTTCTATTCCTAACCAGGGTTAACTGTATTGAAACCTGCAACTCAATCAATAAACAAGACAACATTTAAATAATTGGCTGGGAAATCACTTCATCTGGAATTGAGCTTTCCTACCCAGAAACACCAACTGGTTTACTGACAAAATCTTACAAGTGATCTTGTGACATATGCTCAAGAGTGATGAACTATCCAGCTTTCCAAAGCTCAATTGATTATAGTAGTGAAAAAAATTTTCTTTACTTTACTGTGTCATATTTGAAATGTCGCCATTACTCACAAATGGTACTTATAATCATTACAATATCATTCCAATTAAAGAAGTGAGGAAAAGAAGACTTGACAAATAAAAGCTAGTTATACATTGGGAAAACATAAGGCCTTTGATGGAGTCATTTTTGTGTTTTTCCTTTTTTGGGAGGGGAGGGCTCAATGTTGCCTGAAAGATAGTCCACACCAATGTAGTGATGGCACTTCTTTTGCTTCAGAAATGAAAAAGAGAAAGAAGTGGAAGAAGGAGGAGAGCATGAAACAGATGTACTAAGTAAATACAATGACTGGACCAAAGCTAAATATGCTGATTATGTTGCAAGGTCTGTTGGGATCTGAAAATTGTTCTACTACAGTACCTTACAAGTATCTTGTTTATGTACTCATTTCTTTGCTAATTGTTTCTTATTTTGATGGTGTAAACTTATTTGTTAAATGTTTTGCTCATGACACCATAAAAATAAGATGAAATAAATGTACAAGCATTGTTGCTTTATTTATAGTTGCAAGGGCAAAGCAGAGTTTGAGCCTGATGAACCAGTGGGATTTTTTGCCACTGAAGAGGACTGGTATGTCTGATTTTATGATTCTCTGAGCTACATGTACATGTACTATTGAGTTGACAGAACAAAGCAATCAAAGGACTCTTAAAGCCAGCTCACTCATGTAATGGTAATGGAAAATTTTCATTGTACTTGTTACTGCTGGTCATTGTAACCAGAGGAAAAAAAACAATTGTTACTGATAATATCTTAATGTGTATTTTTTTATGAATGAGCTCAATGGATAGAGCGCTGGACTGTTGTGCGGGAGGTCGAGGGTTCGAGCCCCGGCCGGACCAACACTCAAGGTCTTAAAATAATTGAGAAGAATTTGCTACCTTTCTATAACATCAAGAAATGGTTAGATATTCTAGTCTTCTCGGATAGGGATGAATAAATGGAGGTCCCGTCTCCTGCAGGGTTGGGGTAGGAGACGTTAATTTCCCACACATGAGATTACTGTGCGATGGGATGTCCTCCCCTGGGGTGGGATGGGTAGGAAAGTGAGATCGATAGACTGAAGCGGCTGCCAGAGGCGCCTGATATGCTGACGTCTGTTCTCAACCTTACACTGCACCCGTAATTCGGCCTCTGGACTGCAAGTGGTCAGATATAAACTATATTCATATTCATTATGATAATGTGAGTTAACTGTATTTAAATAATAAACTAGGGGGGGTAATGAGGGGGGATCATGGGCATGCTCAGAAATGCAATTTTGGGGGTATTGGGATAGGAAATTGGCCTTAATTTTTATGTCATTATAAATACACTTTATAGTGATTATTAGAGGGTGACCTCCCATTCAGAGCCTATTTTTCGGCTGACCTCCCTGTGCTTTGAAGCCCAAATGTTTTTGCATGCCCTTCCCACTCATCCCAGGACCCCCCCTGCTTCTTAAAAAATGGCGCATCAACGGAAAAAAATTCAAGTTAACACAAGATAACTTGATTTCAAAATGAGATAAAAACATAAATAGCCAAATCCTAACTCTAACCCTTGTGTGACTTTCTTGGCCACTATTATTGATGTGTGTGTTATTTGATGAAGAGCTCCAAAGGAAAAGCACAATTATAAAGCACTGATTTACTTAGTATACTTACCAACACAGACTCAAATAAGCTCAGCATGAACGTGGTGGCGTGTGCAAAAAAACTGATAGAGGTCCCCCTAGTTGCGAACATTTCGGCTTCTCAATCCATTTGGGATTTTACGAAGTTGCCAAATTATTACTTGAAGTCAATTTATTTATTACACCATACAAACATTATTGTATTCTTTGCACTTGTTTCTAACCACGTCAAGGTTTATCTGGACTTTGCTATTAAGGCTAAGCAGGGAGGGGTGATGAGGAACATCACAAATCATTTCTGGACTGGTTCACTTCCCTATATGGTCGACAAAAAAAAAGTCTACAAAAAATTTCCACAACTTCTGTCCACATTTTGGCCCCTCACAATACTTCATTCATTATACAAACACATGAATGAGCTAAAAATCACTTATTTTACAGGCTGGCTGAAAGTTTGCTTTAAGTGTCTATTTATCTTTCATTTCAAAAGTGCGTAGTCTCATGTGGCACAAAAAAAAATTTTTGTCTTCCTTAAAGACTTCTTTGTGTGTTCTTTGGGAAAACATTTCTTCAAAATAAGTATGCATGTCATATTTAACAATTATTCCACGAGCGCACGTTGGATATGAGATGATAGATAGCCAACGAGGCGCGTAGCGCCGAGTTGGCTATAATCATCTCATATCCAACAAATGCAAGTGGAATAATTGTTTTATTAAAAACACTACATTAAATTATTAAATTTTATTAAATCTTTAGCTCCCTTTCAATTTTAAGCTTATGCATACGCTTACCATATCGTAGTTTATGGTATATTGGCTTATATACCATAATGGCTAAGCCAATGAAAAGTCTTGAATTGCATTATCCAATGATCCAGTTTTTAATAATTCCTGTTAGATCATTGAGTTAATGAGGAAAACTGTAGATACTATAATTTATTTTCTTTTACTTCTCAGGGATGAGGTGGAAGTTCATGTAGATAGGATTGTGACTGGGAAGGTATTGTTGTTTGATCGTAAGCTTTTGATCTTCTCTCTGGATGCGTAAAATACTGTCTCAGGATAAAGACTGAAACAGTTTAACATATAAATTTCCTTTTAATGAATTGCAATAAATGGTGACCAGAACTATTTTTGAAGGCTTAGGCATTAATTTATTTTAAATTTGTTATTGTTGTTTGTTGCAGTATGTTGTCGTCAAGTTTTTAGGAGCAAGGAAGGATAGTGCTGAAAGGATTGGAGTGTTGGGAGTCAACTTCTTTGGTTATGAAGTCAAACCTGACTGTCCACTGAATGATGAGCTGAATTTGGTAATACAAACATCCTTTTTGACTTCATTGTTATGGTTTGGGAATGAAGTTTTGGTGAGACTAACAGCTCTTCCAGCTAGTGAATAACTTCACTAGTGAGAGTACCATAATAGAATTAAATTTTTCTGTTTTATTTTCCTTTTTAAGAGAAATTCTTTTTGATATTTTTCTCCAGAATGAAGTTGCCCCTTTACCTTCAAACAACACAGTGGAAGGTTCAACTTTGTTCATTAGAATCTTGTTATTTCTTGATGAAATGGCAAAGGACCAGGTAGACAACAGTAGATTAAAAACCTCATTATTTGTTGAATTGATTCTTGTGTTTCTTGACAGCTACTAGACAAGTATGCAAGAGTCACTATTAACAATTGAATTAAATTGAATGTGGTATAATTTCTTTTGTATCTTGTATTCTACAGATTCATCTCAAATCACGACCCAAAAATCCTCCACTGTTTAAAGAGAAGGTATGCAGAATGATACAACTGTGGCTGTACAGTGAAACACTGCTCATATTATTTGATAGTGTGAGCAGTGATACAAATATCTGTAGGTCGTTGCAGTGATATGTAGAACTATAGTTGGTGATAAAATAGTTACCGATTAAATTCAGCTTCTAACAGGCTTAGACCCATGATTTTGTTTTGTCTGTAATGTTTCAGGAGGGTCAACTAGAGATGAGTAGCATGAGTCTTGAACTGGTCTGGGATGTTTACACACTTGTAACAAGCAGGTAGAGTACACTGCTAACAATTATGCTTTGGAACAGCTGCAGATTGGACTGTATTAATAACATTACACATTGTGTCGTTTCACAGGGGTGCAAAGCACAAGAAGATTATAGTATCTTGCCTGCTGCTTCTTCGTTTGTTTTACCAAAGCCTCCCTTGCTTAAAGTCCACCCTCAGAGAACTGGCAGCTGACTCTTCTGATAAGGCAGCATTTGAAAAGGTGATGAACTGCATTACAAATCCATTCTCTCGCATGTAAATGTGGTTACAATGGATATTCTTTTCATTTTCTCAGCAACAAGAACTGTCTTCCAAAGTATTTGCGCACTTATGTGACGTTGTGGACGACAGCGAGGGGTACTATGATGAAAAGATTCATCAGATTTCAAAACTGATTATTTTAGAAGGTAACTCTATTGCTAACTCCCCAGAACAACTAGATACCACAACTGTCACTCTTTCTATTTCTAAACAGGTTTTTTAAACGGACTTAAGCTTAATTTCTTCGTAGAACTTCTCTCAGTTTGAAATCATGTTGATAAAAATATCACTCTATCTGTTCTTGAAAACAGGAGCAGAGATTTTCTTCCCAGACTCGAAAACAAGGCGGAGTCACCTGTTGTCCATGGTGGATCAAGTGATGGAGGAAAAAAAGGCGGCATCTCTGGGACTCACATTTGAGTCACTCTGTAGATTCTTCAGTAATAAAGATGCCAGTGGCCTTCTTGGACTTCCTGACATTGTGTCAGAGGTCAAATAATTCTCAGTCGTATTATTGTCAGTGTATAACGAGCTGGATTAGTTTTGAGTTATGGTTACATAGAGAAGAATTAATCAGTAACAGCGATTGATAGCAAATCTTAAAGTTAAGAAGTTACGAGAAACTCTTTTAACTGAAAAAAGCCCCTGACTGATTTCAATCTTTTACGCTAAGGTTGAACTCAAAAGAAAAACGCGATCATAGGTGATAACGTGATTTGTAAATACAAGGAGAAGCAGTCATTACCAGCACTGATAAACTAGTTTGTATCTAAATGTGAAAGAACTTCTGCATTATTATACTAAATTACCCGTCTACCCAGAAGGAATATCTTAGATTGGACTGAAATTAGTTTTGGGTAGAAGCAGCACCAGTTTGCTAATATTTAGTTGTCCTGCTATACATGTAGGTGGTTTAAATGTTAACATACATTTTCTTCTGTCATATCTAGAAAGGGTTTGACTATGGACAAGTTCTTGCCGTCATGACAACGCTGTTGTCTGTGGCTTATCAAGAGGTGTGTTCAGATCTTCTCTATGTAGTTTAATTTGTATTTCTTTCGTCTTGTTCCATTTACTTGCAACTTCTCTCGTATTTTGTATCCAGTGCCTGAACTACGTAACAGCAGCAGATGATGGAAACCAAAGTGACTCTACATCCAACCTTGTTCAGCTGTTGTGTGCAATGCAAAGAAGTCTGTTAACATGGTGCAGTACACAAATTAAATGTGGGAGTTCCTTTGGTCAGAATGTCGCCACTAAGCTTATAATAGAGTGTAAGTTTTACATACCAAGATTAATCGGGCGCATGTTGTGCACACTTTGATAAAATGGCTCCGAATTTAGTAAGATATTCAGGATTTGATGTGTTTGTGAAATTCTAATCTTGCATTACATTTTGTGTTTTGTTGTACTAGATGTTGGTATCCTGGCCAACAAGGTGTTCATGTCACTACAGGCTGTGAATGGCGCATCAGACCAACTGGTTGTAATAGACAGACTTGAACATTCGTATGTCTCTGCAGCCATGAGACAGCTGGTGAGTTTTACACGGATCTCCTACTGTCACTGTAGTCTTGGCATAAAGCTTCTGTAATTTAGGAATGGATTGTTTCGTTGTCATATTACATCAGATAACATTTGACTTCAGTAATTTAATTATTATTATATTTTGCTGTAGGTTCTTTTTCTTAATTTGTTTACAAACGTGGATGCCATATGTATGCCAGTACTAAAACATCTACAGCCAGTTTCTCTGGAGTTGAAGAAATGTTCAAACAAGTATCCACAACTGTTCTTCAAGGTAAGGATCTTTGAAACATCATACAGGTTAAAACGCCATAACATAGGCTATAGACTGGTTATGGACTGTGATTATTTTGTTTAAGTTGTAAATTGTTTGCTTCAAACCTTACTTCACGGAGATAAAAACAGCCTTATCATTGAAACCACATCAATTAAAACAGAAAAAAAAAAAAGAAATAGGTTTTCAACACAAACTGAGAGAAGCGCCAAAAACTTCGTAAGTCAAACACTCTCGTAATTTTGAAAGACTCGATTCAGATTTCCGATACTTTATGTTTGGTCAGTGATCTTGATTATTCGAATTTGTTGATCTCAGATTGATTCTGAAGAATGGAACTAGACAGTGGGTCAGACAGTACTCAGAACATGGGAGGTGGAATCTGCACACAATTATGAAAATAACCAGGATGTTAAAATGGTAAACATTATTATTAATAACACTTATCTAAAGGTCTTTCCTCTTGTTTTTCTTTGCCGCCTGACCTCAGTAGTACTTTTTCCTTTACTTGTTTCAGGTCTTTAACTGTCCTGGCTGCTCAGAATTTACAGTTGACTTTGATCCGCGCTGTGAAACTGAAAGAAGGTTGGATTTTTTTTTTTAGCGCATTGGTTTGAATTTTGTGCAAGAAAATAGTGTTGTAGTTGCATTATAAACCTTTAGATTGAAGTTTTTCACTATACAGGGTTATGAGTTTCACTCCACTCTCTTTCAGATACGACTACTTGGAATTTACAGATTCAAATGGAAACAAGAAACGCTTTGATCAGAAGGTTGACACCGAGAAGTGGCCAAAAGTGAGTGGCAAGATCTCTACATATGGTGAACGATCCTCGCAGTAGATAGCGCTATTTAAGCAATAGCGAAAATCAGACCTGAAAAAAATCAGGCCTGTACGGGACTCGAACCACTGACCTCTGCGATACTAGTGCAGCGCTCTACGAAAAGCCCCTCATTCCCACCATCTCATAGTAATCAAAAGCAACGTGTTGAATTTCGCCAGGTAACTGCAAAAGGTTCACCAGATGTGGCTCTATCGTGGATTTTCGACCTGCAGCTTGGAATGGCTCGTCTGTTTGGTCAGCTGTGCAGTGCGGCCTTGGACAGTAGGAAAGGTAGACACAGATAAATCTATGATATGTTTATTACATTCCTAAAAACTCTTATCTCATCAAATTATTACAACCGGTAAAAATTTCAGTTAGAAAGCTGTTAAGTGTGGTCTGTGTATCAGGTGGATAATACTAAAGAGTACGTTAGCATGAGTATGCCGTTTCAATAAACTATGATCCTGTTACTGGAGGAAATATTTCCATTCCTAACTATCTACGCTATGGTCATTTGACGGTGTAACTTGTCTTATTTAGCTTCCCCAACTCTATCGGGTGTTGACGACGAAGAAGAAACCAAGTTGCTACAAAGCGAAATTTGGACAACACTTTTCCGTGGTGGATATCTGACAGGCAAGCTGCAGAGATCTCTCTCTGGTCATCATGTGAGTCATTTTGTGTCTATATGTTGCTCACTGAATCTTCAATAGTCATTTCAGGTAACTGTACACGACGTTGCTGCTTTCGTGTGTTTATTTCACAGGCAACAACAGCTTCTTCAGTAGAGAATTGCGTCAACTCTTTTCTGCAAGGATTTGACAGTGGGGATAATGGAGCTATTGTAGAACTAATAAATAGGTTGGTTTGTGTTTAAATGTCTCGACAATTTGATAAATTGGACGTTTCAATCCGGTAAGTATGCCGTCTAGCTAGTAAAGGTCAATTTGCTCTTTGGTATCACCTTATTTTTGTCACTTTCATCCACGTCGAACATCTCGTTTAGGTGCCGTGAGAAGGCTCCTGGACCATTTATCGGAGGTCCCCTTGTGGACCAGGCCGTCAAATCTGCTTTTGCTGCCCTTATTTGGCACTCGCAGGAGTTAAGGGACCAGATAGTTCTGTTTGGTAAGTATAGAAATGAATGGTAAGTTATTTACAATCCAGCCCTTTTAAACATAGAGTTAACACTACATGTTTCAGTTTTAAAGCTATCTTCAAAGCGGTTTTTTGTTTTCAAACCACAGTGCACACAAACTCTTCGCGCAGTTACCTTTTTGGAATATTTTAAATTTTCAGCCAACAACACCCCTCCAGAATCTGTCCCAGAGGGCGTTCAAGAAGCTTATGTAACTGCTGAGTCTCTTAGGCGAGGCTTGGTAAGTCTATGTTGGTTTTTTTTAATGCAATATTTTGTCTTAAAGGATACTGCTGTATGCTGTTCACCTCTGTTACAGTTCTTAATCCCCCACTGTCGTCCTATTTTGTTGTAAGGTGGATCGTCGCCAGCGTTTGATTCTACAGGCAGAAGAGGAATCTAGTCAGGACAGCAAGTCCCCTCAAAAAATCAATCCTGACTCACAGGGTATGTCAGGGTGTCTACATTGCTGTGAATCATTTTCAACTCTATGTTTATGTTTAGTGAATATCACCTCCTGTACATAATGACAAGCTTCTCTGTATTTATTGATGTTTCTTGTATTGTTTCAGTGATTGCATGCAAAGAAAAGGCGCAGTTTCTTCTCAAGTTTGCAGGGCTACAGAGAATCACAGACAAAACCTGCGAGGTACAAGAACTGATCGCCATACAATTCTTAGTTCCTGCAAATAAACGTTTTAACGGGTAATCTCTGATGCGAAAGTGTAGTGCGATCGTCCGGGTGAATGTGGTCCTGAGAAGGACTCCACTCACCACCGACAACAGTCCTTCTCAGAACTACAATCACCCGGACAATCGCACTACACTTTCACATGTTACCCCCGGGTTCAAACCATTTACTCAATCTCTGATGCGTTGAAATCATTTAATAAACTCGTTCATACAGTGCAGTTTACCACCTGGCAAGTTTTGGCCACTCTTTCGTGAGAAGGAACAATCAACTTTTCTGAAACTGTTTAACAGGCAAAATTCTTTACATTCTGTTACAACTTCACAATTTTCGGTCTTTTGTTTTGGGAGATCTTGGTTTTCATCATGCGAGGGTTTTATGACACTTCCGCAGGGAAGAGAAAACCGACGATCCAAGTGGCTCAACAGAAAATCGTCATGGCAGAGAGCATCTAGCGAGCACAGTGGGAGCATACTGTCAGGACCTCGACAGGTGAGAAATCTGAACAGTCTGTTAAATAATTGAATCAGCTTACCATATATGTTAAGATTCCGTTTTCTTTGCGTTAACTAAGGTTATTTACGCCATGGAACCTTTCCGTGGCGCCACAAAGCGTGAACCAGAAGTATTTTTGTTTCCGACAGAGAACACTGTCCATTGAAGAGATAAAGACGATCGACAAGCATCCAGCGTTCAAACTTATCCTCGACTTTGTTACAAATGATTCCTGTTCTCATGAGAGGTATGTTGATGGCATTTGGGTCAGCTGATGCTGTACATTTATTTATATTTCCCAAGACTTTACAGAACTTTCAAACAGGTTTTGTTGTGTTCATCTCTGGTTGCTACCTGAGCGCTAACACGTAGAGCTGCGCTGGTTTTTTTTCGATTTATTGTCACCTTATTATTTCTTTTCTGTTGAAGAATCCAAGCCTTACTGGAGCAGAGGGTGAAACATGCAAACAAAGTGGCCGACATTTACCTCTTCGCTGCCGATTTTCTTCGTATTTCTTCGGAAACAGACCTTGTCCAGGTGAAAAAAGAAAGAAACACTGCTTTTGTCAGCCTATCCCATGTCTGTTTTCCTGGAACACCCCTTAGCCATGAAGCCTGAGGTTTTTTTTTTTTTCAACCGACGGAAAGGCTGATCGTGAATCTCAGGTCATCTGTGAAGGCTTCAAAATTTATGTATAGACCAAAACGATTGACTGAAATAATTTATATACATAGTTATCAGATGTGTACCTTGGCACGGCCTGGTTTGAACTTGTCACATATAGTAGTGGACACTCTACATGGCTTTAAACAAAGATGTTAAAATTCATTTCAGCTGATTTTCACTTTATAGTAGCTGCATTATTTTAAAACAAAACTCTTTATTTTCGAGCTACCTGAATTGTATTTTTTTAATCCCATGCAGGCCCCGGCCGTACTCTTCTTGCAGCAGTTCCTTGCTTCTCAAAAGTTCTTTCCGAGGTAACACTCACCTTTTCGATTTAGACCTTGACGAAAATAGGCTATACGCTGTAAAAACACGACCTCACACGACCTCTTTAGCTACATTACAAAGTGACATCGCACTCTTTTATGTTCTCATTAACACTCGATACCTAACGCTCAAAGCAAGCAAATTGTAGTAAAGTCTTTTGTTATTTTTTTTGTAGACACTATGCGGATAATCTTGATGGCTGTGGGTTACATCTAGAAAATAAAGTACGCCGAGCGTACTATGCACTGGTTAGAAGATGTCTGGAGGGAGTTAAGTCTTATCATTCACAGGCTTCAATTCGCAGGTATGATCGCCAAACTTACAAAGGAATTTAAAGGCGCTATAACCGAGTCAAGATAGACTGTAAAAGGAGCCGAGGGAACAGCAAATGGGCTTCCCTGACGGTAGTCTTTTAAATCTGTCTCTTCGTTGATTTAAGTTACACCGGGTGTGAACCGTTTGCCTTTCATTATTTTTTTTTCCTTTTCTCTTTCGTAAAGAGCTGCGATGTAAAAAACGCTCAAAGAAACTGATTTTCGTGATAAAATGTTCTTTTTTTGTGTTGTGTCTCATTTCAGACCGAGTTCTGCTGCGTTTGAATGTCTCCGAGCTTTTGTTCTCCATCTTCTTGATACTGACTGGAAGGTTTGTGATAGTTTATTTTTATATGTCTGCGATCTTACTAGTGTTTCTTGAAGTTCTTATGTTGTTCTTTTTTGTGTTTGCTTGCCAGGGTTACGATTACACTTTTATTCTCGATGTTCACCTTCCTGAGTTCCTTCTGGACACCGCAAAAGGCGAGTTGCGATCACTTTGTACATGTTCAAGATTCTGCCATTAACTTTGTGACTCGTTTAAATAGAAGCTGATCAACGCTTTTAACGAGGGCTGAAGTATTTCTTGAGAAACGTAATATATATTTGAATGGTAAACTCTGATTGTATGCAGACGATATTATATAATCTTACACAGGTTTTCGACGATGGATCTGAACTTTTTGCGAAGGCCAATCGAACGTTGACAAACTTTCTCATTTATTTATTTATTTATTTGTTTATTTTATTTTAGAAGCTCCACATTGCTAAACATAGTGCGACTTCGTTTTTAATTGATTAACTGTTGTAGAAAATTATGGTACCGGTTTTTTCTTTGTTTTTCATCGTGTTGTGCGTGTAACATGTGTTCTAAAATCATTGTTTAGCGACCGTATTGGAACCCAAACAGGATGTGAAGGATAGGAATGAACAGCAAGAACTGGATCATTATGAAGAAGGAAATGGCTGGCTGCTAGAGGCTAAACGAGACATGTCTTGGTTTTCTCGTCTTCAGAATGAAGCACAGACAGACCAGGAACGACGGGTTAGTGTACTGTGAAAAGCACCAAACAAAATCCCCGTATAACTACATTAATTTTGCCACTGTGACGTCATTTTCTGTGCTTGTTTCGTTTTCAGTTTCTTAATTTCTAGCTTTCTTGGGTGGTTGGTTTTTCCTCTTTTTTTTGCAAAGTAGTTAGTTTTCTTAAATGTCCATAAGAAAGTGTCCAGACCCGCAGAGTGTTCATTAGTAGTAACCGTAAAATTCCCTTTATTTTTTTTTTTTTCTCAGAGAATGCATCTATTTGTGGCACGGTTTTCGGATATTCTTGATGTGTCAATAACCTGTGATGGCTGTGACATCACCCTATCGGGCAGGAGATACCGCTGTCTTAACTGCATGGATGTTGACTTGTGTAATACGTGTTACCTTAGTAAGTGAATATTGGACTTCATGTAATAACTTTTGCTTTGTAACACGCAGGTATAAGATACTCTTCAAGCGGTGAACTTGTGCCTTCTGAAGCTAGAGTAACTTATTTGGTTTTCCACCGTAACGATTACAAAAGCTGACGTTTCGAGCGTTAGCCCTTCGTCGGAGCGAATGGCGGAATTGTGGTGCTCGAAACGTCAGCTTTTGTAATCGTTATGGTGGCCAATTTACCATTTCAACTTTGTTGATATATCCAAATTATTTTTTTACATTGATCGATCGCGATGCGTCTTCTAATTTGTGTCATAATCAATACATTGCCAGAATATTTATTGGACTTTGCTAGCTCATTAGAGGTATTCTTTTAACAAAAACGAATTTCGAAGATATACTGTTGAAACTATAACTAAACGACTGACATTCCACTAACAATTAATGAGCATTTTGGTTTGAAATCGGACTGATACTTTCATTTAACAAGATTCTTAGCTTCTCTGCCTTGGGAAACAAAACCATTTGAAACTCAAACTCTTCATCTTGCCTCGGTTTTAACTGAAGTGGTACATGTTTGGGCTTTGTTGGATCTTAGTTTGCTTAATTATTTATAATTATGTTTAAAAGGCTCACAAGGGCTTAGAATCTCAAGCATCGAAAATTATCAGTTTAAATTTTCCATGATAATATATAACCTCTTTATTGTAGTATGATATTATTTCCTTGTAATTTACTTATTGTCTAATTTTGGATAATGAAAACGGTCGTCGTTTGGAAGAGAACTCAGGCAGAGACGTTTATGAGACGTAGACGGAAAAATGAAGAAGAATGATACTATGATTTGACACCATTTTATCGACCGAAAGGAAGTTGTAATTGTAAACCAAAAATTGTGCTGACCAACAGTACTTATATCCGGCTGCCGTCCGCGTCATAAAAACGTTAAGCACTTAAGCGTAGGTCTGTGATGAAACTCATTTATCATCTTTAAAGAAAATCTTATTAATCGAATAGGAAGGAAAAGGATTCTTTTATTGCAAAACTCCAGGCGGTTGATCCATATTCGGTCTTTCGAGTGGATTTACAAAGAGTGCGAGAAGCAGACCGTGTAATCAGGGAAGATTACGAGAAGGAAGATGTTAAAAGCGCTCCGTGGTAAGTAACGTGAGAAAATTGATGGTAATAGATAAAAAATAATCAATGAAAGCTCCTATTTTCAAAATCACGACCACAAGCGGCAGTTTAAATGGCACACGTACACACACGCACATACACACACAAAAAAATTCAAAAAAAAAAAAAAAAAAAAACACACACGCACACAAACGCACACGTACGCATACCGTCTAGATATTTTAATGCGGTAAACATCATACCTACAGGTAAGG